GATCTACAAACTGATCCCATTCTGACTCTTAGAAATTGCAGAGAAGATGTGGTCCAAAAATGTTCTGAAATCCACGAAGAATTGAGTTTGTTTCTTGTTAAACGTACTGGATCTTCTAGCACCTTGTCCTGGGTAATTTGCTTGTTTGTTTCCTTAAAGATTTATGATTGCTAATTTCTAGATATGTCTCTGTAGAGTGGTGGCTTTAAAATGAAATCTTATCAAATTGTATATTCCAAAACTCCTGAATTCCACAGTTCTCTGGTGCCGCAGGCCGAAGATCAAGCTCAGTTCACGCAAATCACAAGGTGAAGATGCATCTAACTCAGTCCATGACCACCAGGACTATCTGTGTAGCCTTTCCTTTCACTTTATGTATTTGTACGTATTATCCTTTCACATTTCTCATAGTTATTGCTTTTTTCTTTTTTTTTTCAACATTAAAAATACATCACTAGACAAACTGGGAATTCAGAGGTTTCACTAGCTGAGTACAACACCTAAAAAGGCACAACAGGAAGGTTGTTCTTCATCCTCAGGGTTAAAAAAACCTTTTGCACATAAAGTCTTAATAGACCAGTTACTATCTTTCTGCATCAGAGGACTGCCACGCACATGTTTCTGTTGGATTGGAAGGACACCTCTCAGAAGAACATTCTGCCTTGAACTGTGTTAGTGCCCAATCCATCACAACCCTTTGTAGATTCCAATGACAATAACTCCATTACTTTCCAGAAAATACTCTTTCCATAGCTGAAGCTAAAAATAAGGCTAGGGATAGAACATGTGGCTCATGGCTTTATGCCTCATTTTTTAACAGTTGATACTTCTAAAATGGACGAAATTCATGATCAATTTTTCAATTTCTTTTGTGACTTTTTTTATTTTGAAGAACAAAGAACATATAAGAGAAGAACCCATTCTACTAATTCACAGGGTGGCCCTTTCCTTCTCCTGAGGAGAGAATGAAACATTCTCCAAAACAAAGCAAAAAACTGAGCATAGGTCAGGCAATGAAGCCTGTAAATCATCACAAATTTTAGTGGTTTATGATTGTTCTTCAATAGATACTTCTTATTTGATGAAGGAATGACATATACTTTGAATATTGGTAATAAGCACAACATCTGAAAAAGATAGCAAGAGATTAAAGCAAAACTATCCAGTGGAATTTATTTCTCATATTAAGAAAAAAAAATACCAGGCAGCTTCTCTCTGTGTCTGAGTGACAAGCATGTTCATAACTGGCATGTTCCATTACCAGGAAAGAGCTCATGGCTTTAAATTTAGTCTTTTAATATCATATAATTCATTCATAATGGATATGAAGAATATCCTTGTTATACACTTCAAATCTTGGGGACTACAGAGGGTGTACAGTTTAAGGCAGAAGGCCCAGAAGCTGAACCTGAGGAGCTCTTTCTCAGCTTTTGTGAAACTGGTCCTGCTAGTGGACTGGATCAGTGTCACTGGGAATACCAATGAAAACCAAAATTCCTCCTGTTCTACAGCCTATGTTACATAAACAACTGTCCAATGCGTGAAGGAAAAAAACAGATAAAGGTCTTGCAAACACTACAGGTTTCAAATGCTCAGACAAGGTCCAAAAAAAACATTCTTGAGACAACTGAAAAGTCTTTACCCTGCCCTGAATTTTCACTGATATCAATGGGAATTTCTGCACTTGAGGATGACAACACTACTGAAGGCAATAGCTGCTCTCATATTTGTTTCTAAAGGAGTGATCTTTGGGTGAAACTGCATGGAATATCTTAGCCACCTCAGACAACATCTTGTCAATAAACTTCAGCATTCAGACATCTGTGTGAACTACAGATCAGGTAAGTCAGCAAATGTTTCTATTCTACCATAGTCCTGAATCGTGGATTCGTCCAGGAATCCTTCAGCCAGAGATTCATTTTGGGCATCAGTACAGCAACCAACAGGAAATTTTTAGAAATCCTTTGGCAATGTACTATTTCATTGAGTATTTAAATGCTCTTCTATGGTTAGCAGAAGTGTACATTATCAAAACTGATAAAGAAGTGATTAAACAGCTAGTTAGCAAAATCCTTAAGATGATAGAAAATGAATACAAAACTGCAGGTCAGAAATGTGGCCTCCAGGAAATTAAAAACACATTTCTTGGCAAACAGCCAAGATTACAATACTGTTCCTTTATCTCAGTGCACATATTACCTTTTGCAGACCTCTCTGGATTTACATTAGCAAGAACAAGTCCCATTCACACACTAATTTTAATTGGCCCAGCAGACTGATTGTCGATTATTTGTTTCACTTTGCAGAGTAGTATGGAGAAGGCTTGTTTCTGCCTATTGCGCTTCTTCTTCATGCCAGTATTTTTACTAGTCGTTTTTTTCATAATTTGAGTGGGTTGTAACTAAAGGAACCAAATGGGGGAAAGGCAACGCAGTACAGTCATACAGCTTCTGCAGAGATATAAACCAGAACACTAGTGGAGAAGCACTTCTTAGTAACTTCTTTCTCTCTTCCACTCTTAAATCCACCTCTCTCTCTCGCTCCCTTCCCTTTCATTCCACCTCTTTATCCAAAACCTGCTGCTGTGTGCTGATGTGAATGGCCAGTCTCTTCGCGAACGAAGAACCGGGGAAGGTCTTTCCACCTTCCAGCCTGCGCATTGGACTTTTTAGGTGAGACACAGTGTGCGCGGAACTGAGCCCACCCTTTAATCCTGAGGTTCATCTGCCGGGGCCAAGCACGCTTGGACGGTGGCAGCGAGGTCCTCAGGACGTAGATGGATTGCCTTACAGGGCTAACGAGCTCCATCTGCCCGGGGAGGGGCCCCGACCAGCAAGCCCCCGGTGGTCTAGGGGAAAAGACACTGCACTGTCACTGCAGAGACCCGGGTTCGTTTCCTGGTGCTGATGTAGGAAGTCAGGGATTAACAAACAAATTTCCCATGCCAAATGTGTAATTTACAAATAAAACTTTTTAAGCTTTTAAGTTTTGCGAACTCTCTGACTGTTGTCATTCCTTTCAGTGAGGAGCTATGAATCTTGGATGTTCCCTTCCCCTTAAGGGTGGGACACCATACAGGACCAATGCTGGACCCATTAAAATGGAAGCTCACAACAGAAATCAGATTCTGCATGATCTAGATTTAGCTAGGCATAAACATTTGCTCTTTGAATGAGCACTGGCCTTGGAATTAAACATTCATAGTTATCCAGCCATGCTTAGTCATTTTATTTTAATATTAAACCCCATTGTGCATTCCAGTGAACACTAACACCAAGATTTAAGGAAAAATATTGTAGTATTATTAAAGAAGCAATAAACAGCAATTTTCACAAGTTTTGTGAACACGGTGTATGCTCAAACACTACTATTGGAGTGTAGTTTTCCTGCTTTGAGTAATTTTAGTATATTATTTACTTAGAGTTATTTTAAAATGCTGTAACTAAGGGGGCAGGAGAGACAGGAGGGGAGAGATACTAAAAATAGTAATAAAGGAGTTATGTGGGGGTGATGCATGGGGGCAGGGGTTGCACCTCCATGTATACACAGGTATATGTATGCATATGTATGTGAACTAAATATGCATGAAAATTAATCTAAAGTACTATGAGAGGAAGGGATTTGAACACACAGAAAGCTGCAGTGAGAAATAATAGCTTTGGATTTTGGAAGCCAAAAATGTAAACCAAACATGCCTCAGTCTATTTTGGGGTGACAGCCTGAAATTAAATATATTATATAGGTGTTCTACCAGCAAAACCAAGGTGATCCTGAAGAACAGCATTTCTTTGTTCACCCAACACATGCAGGGAATGTGAGGGCATAGCTTTTGTGGGAGCACTGAGGTCCCGTTGATTAATTAGGAACTAATCTTCCTCATTTTAAAAAGAGCACAAGTGCTCTCCTTTTCAAGTAGGATATTAGTGGAATATTTTGCCATTCCTTGAATTAACAGGCCACTGCATAATTCTGGACATAGGGACAAAACAAGATATCTACCTTAGCAGCCTGGATTTTGGTGCAATTCCAGCCTGCTTTTAGGTTCCCTAACTGGCTCTGGTAGGTCTGGAGCAATAAAATCTCAATGACTGAGGCCCTGGGAGGGATGTTTTTGCGCATGGCACCAAGTATTTGCCATTTACAGTTTAACCCTTGGAAAGCCTTTGCCCGTTGCCTCAGTGATGGGGGTAAGAACCCAAGCTGTTTACATCAAGATCCAACTGTTTTCATTTTGCCTCATCACTTTTATCTTGGGAGAAGTACAGCTCTGAATCTAGATTAAGAAGAGCTACCTTCCTGATTTAAAGCTATTTAAGGAATTTCAGACACACTCAAAATCTGTATGTAAAAATATTAAAAAGAGAGAAAGGAAAAAAAAAACCTCAAAAAAATTAATGCATTTTTTAGGGAAACAGCAGACCTACAGTAATTTGTAGTTGCATCTAATATACCTGATCCTGCTACCAGATGTCAATGGTCCTCTAGAAATGAGATTGCACCCAGGCCAAATGTAACCTACAGCAATCTTTTGAAGCTTACTAGGCAAATGGAGACCCTTCTGCATTTTCTACAGTACGGTCATTCTGAATCAGAAATAAAAATTAGTTTATGTACTGAATCAGTCATTCCTCCACTCACTCTACAAACCCTTGCACAACCCAAATTCTCCTACAGGATTCAGGAAGATAGAATGCCTTTTTACCTATGTTTGGATTTCCCTGCAGTCCACAGATCTCAGCACCCTAAAACTGATGATAATTTATACCACAAAGCAAATATCTCCTGTACATAAGAGATGGACACTGAGCATATAAAGACCAGAAACTGAAAAATCAATCTGGTGTTCAGTTTAGTATGCAGAAAATGTTCAAGTCTACAATGAGAAAAGCTCTCCCTCTCCCTCTCCCTCTCCCTC